AATGTGTCATATTATTAATATACTAAACATTAATAAATCATATTATCCTTACATGTAGATAACAGGTTATTAAAATCTCTGCCTTGTAGAAAAGAAAAAATTGTAGCCTAATCCTATACATTTACAAACTCATGAATATGGAAGAAAGACAAGTGAATTTTAATAATAGGCCCAGGAATAATACCTCCCCTAACATCTCTTGCATGTGAAGCACAGGTAATAAGAAATTAACTGAGACACATTTTGTTACCTGATGCTTAACATTTCTTTTGCAAATCTAATTTAAAATGTTGGTCAGAAAAAAATGTCACTTAGTAGTAAAGGAGGTGGAACGCATATAAGTCAGAAGGAATTTGGAAAATTTGTGCAGGAACAACAGAATATATCATCTGTATCTGTTGTTTTAAACACCATTTAAAACAGACTATTTGAAGCTTCTAGTGTCACTTATTACAAAGACAGGATCACATAAGACGTACCTTCTTATCATGTTTAAAATTCTGGAGCTGGTCCTGGCTGTGAAGAATGCGCCTTCCAGCTGAGTTCATCTTGACTGCCAAGCACGGGTTACAACAGCACCTAGCGTGGCATGAATACCTTTCCATTGGCATTAAATGCTTTAGCTTAAATGACCACAGAGCTTAGCAAAGAACTGAATACAGGCAGTATCTCCTCCCTTTAAATGTATCTTTTATCCCTTAGCTCTTAGAGAAAAAAATTCTAGGAAAAGAATTTTTAGTAAAATTGAGCTAGTTCTCTTGGCAACCTCCCCAGCCTTCCTACCTACATCATGGAAATGCACAAGAATGTTGCCAAGGGAAAAAAAAAATGAAAGAAAGAAACAGAGGAAACTATGAGCTACAAAAGCTGAAAAGCATTGTCACCCTCTTATAGAAATGACTGTTTAATAACTTCCCCCAGCGGCTTGCAAGGTAAAGGTGTTGGTTATTGACTGGCAGTGGCTTCTAAACAAAACCAGACCGCTTATTCAATCCCATCTTGGAATGCTGAGCAAGTATGCCTGAGGCTTGTGGGATCAGGGCTGCCGCCTGGACAACGAAGCCATCACTCAAATGACTCAAGAAAGACACATTTCAAAATCAATCCCTGTTGCATGCATGAGACACTTTCAGTCATTGCCCTGATGAGGCCACCTGGAATATGGCACAGTTCTTTCAGAGATGTCAAGGGTCAGGGCTTCTAGGTGAACGACTTCCTTTATCAGCAACATCAGCTGACATGCACTGAAGAGTCTCATTCCCCCAAACCAGGAAGATGCAAAAGACTTACATGTGGGAAACACAACAGGACAAGGTTTGACCATGCCCGTTTCTTGTGGGTTCCTGGTGAGATGAGTTTTCAAAGAATTTCTCTCACCTAGGATGAAACTCCTTTACCTTCCTGTAAGGTTTCTTCAAATATAAGAAACCTTTCTTCAAATTCTACCCTGACCATATTATTTAAAATTGCACCTCATTTTCCTACTTCTAGCCTCTTAACCCTGCTCTTTTTTCCCCTAGGTGATGCCCTTTCTTTTAAATTGAAGTATAGTTGATTTACAATATTATATTAGTTTCAGGTGTACATAGTGATTCAAAATTTTTATAAGAGTAAACTTCATTTAAAGTTATTATAAAATGTTGGCTATATCCCTTGTGCTGTACAATATATCCTTATAGCTTATTTTATAGGTACTAGTTTGTACCTCTTAATCACCTTCTCTTATCTTGCCCCTCCCCCCTTCCTTCTCCACTAGTTTGTTTTCTGTATCTGTGAGTCAGTTTCTGTTTGTTGTATTAATTCCTTTGTTTTACTTTTTGGAGTCCACATATAAGTGATAACATACAATATTTGTCTTTGTCTGACTTATTTAATTTAGCATAATACCCTCTAGGTCCATCCATGTTGTTGCAAATGGTAGGATTTCACTCTTTTTTATGGCTGAGTAGTATTCCATTGTGTGTGTGTGTGTGTGTGTGTATACCATTTCTCCTTTAGTCATCTGTTGATAGACATTCAGGTTGCTTCCATACCTTGGCTATTATAAATAATGCTGCTATGAACATTGGGGTGCATGTATCTTTTTAAATTAGTTTGTTTTTTTTTTCAGGTAAATACCCAGGACTGGAGTTGCTGGATCATATGGTAGTTCTATTTTTAGTTTTTTGAGGAACCTCCATACTGTTTTCCATAGGAGCTGCACCCATTTATATTTCCACCAACAGTGTACAAGTGTTCCCTTTTCTTCACATCCTTGCCAGCATTTGTTATCTGTGGTCTTTTGATGATAGCCCATCTGACAGGTGTGAGGTCGTATCTCATTGTGGTTTTAATTTGCATTTCCCTGATGATTAGTGATGTTGAGTATCTTTTCTTGTGTCTGTTGGCCATCTGTATGTCTTCTTTGGAAAAATGTTTATTCAGGTCTTCTGCCCATTTTTTAATCACGTTGTTTGTTTTTCTGATGTTGAGTTGTATGAGCTCTTTATATATTTTGGATATTAACCCCTTTTTGGTCATATCATTTGCAAACGTTTTCTCCCATTCAGTGGGTTGCCTTTTTGTTTTGTCCACGGTTTCCTTTCACTGTGCAAAAGCTTTTACATTTAATTAGGTCCTATTTGTTTATTTTTCCTTTTGTTTCCTTTGTCTTAGTAGACAGATCAAAAAAATATTGCCACAATTTATGTCAAAGAGTGTTCTATGTTTTCTTCAAGTTTTATGGTGTCTGGTTTTGCTCTTTTTTATTATTTAATTTTTTAGTGTGCAAATCTTAAGTGCACAGGTTAACTTTTATGTATGTACACACTAGTATAACCACCACCCAGTTCGAGATATAGAACTTTTACGGTGCCCTAGAAGGCTTCCTCAGTGGCGCCCTCCCAGCCAGTCCTGTTCTATTTTTTCAAAGCGTTTGTCGCCTTTTAAGATACAATTTGCCTGATTGGTTCATTGATGTATCCAAGTCACTAGAACAGTGCCTAGCACATAGCAGGGACTCAATAAATATTCGTTAAATGAATAAATCTCTCAAACAACACCCATCATGTCTCACTGTCCACACCTCCCCCTCCCCATCTACCCCTCCCCCACCCCTCCCCCTCTCCCTCATAGTCTGTAAGAGAAGCAACCTAGCTTGTAATCTTCAGTGTCTACACAGGGATGTTAAATGCAGCCGTGGGGATGGTATTTATCAGAGCCGGGCATGGGCGTGGATTGGATGTGTTTGAATGTAGTTTCTCTTCTATGCAATGTTTTCTTGGACAGATTGAGCTCTTGCTGGGATGTCTGCAAGGAGGAAGGGATCCCTCCTTTAGTCTGGAGTCATCTTTTGATTCCTAGGTTTACTGGCATTTGCCCTTCTCAGCAGCCTCTCTCCCCTCCAACTCTCTTGTTCCTCCTAATACCGTCACCCAGTCTGGAGAACTTGGCTCATCTTCCACGCTTCCACCTGCCAGTCGGGTGCAGGTTCTTGCCACTCTGCGCCCTGGCCATTTCTCCTCCCTGGTGTCCCTGGAAGCTCCTCTTCCTTTTCATTTCCTCCGGCAACTCCTTCAGGCCCACCTTATGCTACTGTACCAAGTGGTATCCCAATCTTCAGCCTTATCCTTTTCCAAACTCTCCCCTTTACTTTCCCTAAAACACAACCTGATCATGTCCCTGCTGTGGTCATGAACTTTGAATCGTTTGCAGGTGCTGCCAAAAGCAAGCCCCCCCCCACCCCGCCAACGCTGTAGCCTGCCTTCAATTGCGACCTGTTTCCAGGCCCCAATTCCCTCACTAGTCTTGTTTACCGATGCACTGCCAGCCATCTGGTCTATCCCATTGTCACTAAACAGGCCCTGTGTTTTCTGGCTTCTGGACATTTGCTCTGTTGTTGGGCTCAGAAAATAAGCGCTGGAAGGAACTATTTGAGATCATCTGGTCCAGACTCATTTTATGGATGAAGAAACTGAAGCCCAGAGAGATTAAACGACTGACCAGCACCACCTGTGTTTAACAATATCGGTTGAATCTTTCATATACTGAAGATCAAATTGGTGGACCACCCTTTGAATATCCTCCTCATGCAACCCGGATCCCGGAAAGTGTGGACCTTTGAGTTCCACCTCAAGCATGGCCTCTGAAATGAAGTCTTCCTTAAGCCCCCAGTTTGGAGTCTGAACTCTTGGCCTCTCTGATCTGCAGATAACTTGCTATTTGTCTGTGAGACCTATCTCCCCTACTACATTTTCAGCAAACTCTTTGATTCATCTTTGACTTTCCTCCATTCTTATCGCAGAGACTTTTCCATAGCAAGTGAGCAGTAAAATTCTACGGAACAGGGTTTCTGGTGTAAGGGGCGGTGCTTCAAGGCGCCCAGACACCAGCTAGCAACCAGGCACGTGAGTCCAAAAGTTCCAATTACACCGCACCATTCGCACGCCGCGCCCTGGCTCCTTTTGACTCCAAACCCGTAAAGGTGAGGGCGTTTGGTTTCAGCCGAAAGCCTGCTTGCTGCAATTACAGGATAAGTTTCTCGAAGTCTTTTGGCGCTGTGTCTTCCCCCGCCCTCCGCGCGGCGAACCGCGACGCGCATTCGGTGACCGGTCCCCGAACGTGACTTGGCATCGAGAGGGTACAGCTCCCCTTACCGAGGGAGCTCAGGTCCCAGGCGAGCCGCGGCCTCGCCAGCTTTCCGGGCTGGCGCGGTCACCGACCTCAAGCGGCGGTCAGACTGGCCGAGGGTGGCGGCGAAGTGACGCGGCGCTGGCGGGGCGGGGTGGCAATCGCGTCCCCAGGGAGGCGGGAGCGTCCGGGGAGCCGAGAGCGGGCCAGGCGAGGCGGGAGACGCGCTCGGGGCACGGCCTGGGTGACCCCCTAACGCCGGGGCGCACGAGGGCACGGGACTCGACCTGGGTTGCGTCTGCCCGTGCCGGGGCTCGCCGTCCAGCTCTTCTCCGCCCAGGGGAGGAACAGAAGGAGGGGCGACGGCCGGGCCCGCCCCCAACCCCAGCTGCGGCTGCCAGTAGGAGACTAGAGGCAACACCCGGGAGCGGAGAAACCAGTTTGGCTGGTCTCGCGGAGCGGAGGGAAAAGGGCGGCCGCAGAGGAAGGGGGCGCGTACGCGGGGCGGGGGCAGGCGGGGAGCCACAGGAGAGCTGCGAGAGCCGGAGGAGCCTCCGCCAACTGGACACGCTTCCCGGGGCCCCGGGCCAGCCCCGTGCGCCATGAAGCGCTAGCGCTGCGGCAGGGCTGGCGGACGGCGGCTGCGGGCAGGTGCGCAAGCGAGCGCGCGGATAGGCGCGCACCCGGCGGATGCCCCAGTCGGGGCCCAGCGAGCGCCAGGTAAGGAGGGGCGCGGCGCCGGGACCCCTGATCTGCCGCACCCCGCGGGCCCCGCAGGTCCCCTGGCCGCCCGGGGGCGGCGGACTCCGGAGAACAGGGATGCAGTGGCAGCAGCTGTCCGCGCCCTCGGGCTCCTGTGCCCGCAAGGGTGGGATTTGGGTGGCGACGCCGGGAGCCTTCGCTGCCTTGGGGATGGGGAGACGCAGCTGGTGGGGCAGGCAGCACTGTGGAGAAGGCCATGGGCTTTTCACCTGCGGGAGGAGAGGGAACTTGCGGGAGGTGTTTGGGTTCTTTCGTTTGCTACGCTCAGGTCCGGGCTTAAGTTCCGAGGGGCAAGCCTGGCAGGGCCTGTGGGTACTTGAGGAGCGCCGCTGGTTTCCCTGCAATATCTGTCGCCCCTCTGGAAGTCCCTCTTGACAGGGTTCTGCTGGTGGCCCCTTTGGGACCCGATGCAAACGCGTCCGAAAAAAGACATTTGGGCCGAATGCACCGGCAGTACCTTCAGGGAGGGATGGAGAGTGAGGTCGCCTCCACCAAGCCTACTGCGGGACCAGGAACCCTCCAGACATCTTCCGAGGGCCTTAGTGCAGGTTGGGAGGTGATGCGGAAGAGGGGTACCTTTTCCCCCGGTGATTGTAGGGTCGTATCCGCCAGCTCCCATGGCACTGCCAACAGGCCATCTCCTTCCCTCCCCAGTTTGATGCCTGGCGCTGTCACCTCGCTCTGGGCGTGCGGAGTGGCGGCTTGTTGGGGGAGGGGTGTTGCAGGGAATGGCGAGTGTTTTACCCCCCCCCCCCCCACTTCCCCACTCCTCCCCAGGTGAGGCAAGAGCTTGTAATTGTCCGCCCAGCTTCTCCGGGGAGTGTAAGCGCCTGGTCCCCGACGCGGGCGGGGAGGGGAGGCTTGGAACACTGATCAGTAACAGCTGTAGGGGAGGACGAAGGTGCTGAGGGGATGCAGAACGGGGGAGGAGGTTCGATACGCGCGGGGAAAGGGAACCCGAGCTCCATTTCTGCTTAGTGACCCCCTCAACCCCGCCCGAACCCTTCGTCCTGCCCGCGAAGCCCCTGGCGCGCTCAAAGTCCTTGGGTAGCTCCGGACGCCGCCAGTTTCCCCTCCCGGAAACGGCCCGCCCTGCTGGCTTAAGAAAAGTTTCTCTCCCATCTTCCTGGTTGCATTGCCTTCACATCTCTGCCTTCATTCCTCGAGAATGAAATGAGACAACACAGGCGGAGTACTGAAAGACCACCCAGCACGCGGTAGGCTCCAGAGGAAGGTTAACTGCTTTTAAAAACAAAAGCCAAAAATGATGTGTGATAAAATCTCCAGTGATGGTAAACACAAGGGCAGATTAAAAGAGAAAACAGCACAAAATGTGAAGTAGAAGTTGTAATTTTCATGTCTGGGGAGTACTTTTGTATTGGACCTAAAATGCCATTAATTCCAGGCCTGTCGTTGAAGCCCTTATTAAAACCTATTATAAATGCATATACTGTGCAAAAGGTGATGAACGGTTATTAGCTGTCGCTTGTTACTTTCTGGGGGAGAAATCTGCCTGCCTGCAATTATTCCTCGGAATCCTCTTAATGGTATTCATTAGGTAGTGGAGGCTTCCATGTTCTAATGTTAGGTGAGAAATCTTAACCTCTGTTCCTTTGCCATTTTATGGTGACTGTACATTCATAATTTTTAGGATTTCTTTGGTCTGTTATTGGGGGCCAAACAAGACTCAGACAGCTTAATACTAGTGAACGGAAATGCCATCTGCGTGAAAGCCGCCTTGGCCACTTTCAGGTTTTCTGTTTTTTATTTTAAGGAAAATGCATATCAGTATGCACTTATTACTTGTTAGTGATAGAAATAGGAGGGGTTTTTCTGTTTGCATGTTTTTGTAATTGAGCCTTTAAAATAATGTGGTGAAAACGTGCATGTGTAAGTTGTCTGCAGGTGTAAAGCGAGTTGAGGACTGGCTCTGTTTCACCTGTATTTTTCTGTGGTCTTGGCAGTAACAGCACTGACCACATGCAGCTGTGGAATGTTTCTTGCCCTATCTGTTGCCCTTTCCCTCCTCCTTTTTTCTTTTTCCTTCTTTCTCTGTTTTCTAAAGCAAGGAGTCGTGGAAAACATATGGATTTAGATTCCCACAGGTTTCAGTTCTTTTACTTTAAATTGTATTTAATGTTTACAATTTATTCTTATTTATTTACTTTAAAAATTGTATAACCTTAGATGAATTCCTAAATTTTCTGAATTTACTCATTTGCTGGAAAAAATATTTTTCAGCCTCCTTGGGTTGTTGAGGATTAAATGAGAGAACAGGCGAACCTTCCTTATACATAATAGGTGTTCGAATGTTGCTTTCTTATTTTCTTTATTAAATGGATATTTTAAAAAAATTAGTATGATGCCCAGATATTTGGTGTATTTTAAATATTTTATTGCCTTACTAAAGTTTGAATTCAATTTTAGTGTTTCCTAAACATTCATGGAATCCGGGTGATCCTTATAACTCACCTGAGAGAGATTTTAATCTACTAGTTACCTTTGCTCTTTAGTTTCAATCATTGTAAAAGAAGCCTACGCTCTTATGAATGCAGAGGAACTTGCTTTTTAGATACCAGAACAAGTTTTATGGGGTCTGTTCATGTCCCATGTCTGTAAAGAGAGGTGCCTTTAAAATTTCTTAGGCACTTAATTTTAGAATTTGCTTCTATATCTGCTTCTAGATTAGTCTCCTGGGATGTGTTTTTTTTGGTGTCTTTAGGTATCTTGTGAGTTTTCAGGTCTGTTTGTTGGCATTGTTCAATTAGATTAATTGCATTCATGCCTGTAGGTGTTGTTTTGTTACTTATTAAGATAAGTAAAAATTAATTTGCTACCAGAAGAGTTTTAATAACACGAAAAGAAGACAGGTTTATTCTGTTAAGCAGTTTACTCCCAAATCCCCATCCCTGTGCCCAGCTATAAATAATATCCAGTCTAAGATCTTTTGAGGTCCTGTGTCACCAAAGAGCTGGCGTTATGGAAGAAGAGTTTAGAAGGTATACACACACACGCACATCATAGTGTGTGTGTGTATGTGTGTGTATAAAACAGTCTTGTTTCTCATCTTTATTAGAAAACAAAGGATTTTTTATCATCTGATTATTTAGGAACATATTAATACTTTTCCTAATTCTTCTAAATGTGTTGCATGTTAAAATAAATTGTCACCAAAACCATGCACAATGGGAACTATGTTTGATAACTGGTCCCATGGAGACTGAACCCAGAGGCAGCAGTGAGGGGTTAGTAGCAGGTGCTTTGGAGTCCTGTGACCTGGCTTGGAATCTAGGCCTCACTGCTCCCTAGCTGTATAACCCAGGGCAACTTATTAGTACTTAATTGATCTAGCTTTAGTTTCCTCATCTGTAAGATAGAATAGTAATAGTACTATCTCAGAGCGTTGTGTGCTGAGTTTCAAACGAGAGAATTTATCTAAAAGGGCTTAGCACAGAGCTCAATTAAAAGTAGTCAGTATTATTACTGTTGTGTTGTTGATATCTCTCAGCAAATATTTATGGCTCATGCAGCCATTGCCTTTCTCCTAGACTATGCGGGAAACGGGAATCACTCTGTATGTTAGTATTCATTTAGCAAACATAGGTGTCTGTTTGCACCAGGCATTGGTAAGAAAGAGTCCCCTGGAGCAGGGGCGAGGTTCTGAACTTTCAGATCCAGGGCTTGGGTTCTGGAGCCCAAGTGTCTGGGGAGTGGCACGAGGGACCAGGGCGCTCAGTGACCTAGGGATGTGCTCACTCAGTCACAGCCACGAGGGGTGACTGCTCCCACCGGGGCATTCTATCCTCCTGCAGAGTGGAGGGAGGCCCTTGGGACGTACTGAGCACTGCTGGGTCTCCTTTCCCCCCACTTCCCGCCTGTCTTTCATCTTCCTCACCTCTGTACTCTTGTATTAAAAAAAAAAAAAATTAGGGCTTCCCTAGTGGCGCAGTGGTTGAGAGTCCGCCTGCCGATGCAGGGGACGCGGGTTCGTGCCCTGGTCCGGGAAGATCCCACATGCCACGGAGCGGCTGGGCCCGTGAGCCATGGCCACTGAGCCTGCGCGTCCGGAGCCTGTGCTCCGCAACGGAGAGGCCACAACAGTGAGAGGCCTGCGTAC